TATTAGACTGCGTCAGCAGGGATGGCCACACGGCTTGATTAGACTCATCTTCAGCTTCTGCTGCAACCGCATCGCCAGAGTCCGACTGGAAGAAAGCACGACGGAATACTTTCCTCTGTCATGCGGGCTGCCTCAGGGGTCGCCACTATCTCCCATCGTCTTTCTGCTCTACATCGCGGAGATCCTTGAAGACGACCCGGACGCGCGATTCGGGTACCGGGACGACATCGCCACTCTGGCCATCAGCCCCTCCCTGGAGAGCAACGTCGCAATACTCAACCGAAGCGCAGCCGGCATTCTCAGATGGGGCTCGGAGAACAAGGTCTCCTTCGACCCGAGCAAGTGCGAGGTCATCCACTTTACTAGGAAGCACAGCCAGCCAGCGGAGCTGCCAGAGGTCAGGGCGGGGGATTTGGTGGTCAAGGCCTCGACAAATCCTGTACGCTGGCTGGGTGTCTGGTTCGACAAGAGACTGTCCTTCCGGCACCACGTCGACACAAGAGTAGCTGCGGCAAAGAAGGCAGCTCAACACCTGAGGCAGCTTACAAACACAAAGAGAGGACTGCCAGCGGCCGCCGTGCGAAAAGCCGTCGTCTCCTACGTACTGCCGATCGCGCTCTTCGGCGCCGAAACATGGTACGCAGGTATCACGAAGCCGGCTTCGAGACGCCAAGCGGAGACAGACACGAGTCCGCCTTTCCAAGGAAGACCCGTCAACACAGGCCAGAAGGGGCTCGTGCAGAAGATCGACAGCGTCATTACAGCGGCAGCAAGGATCGTTCTACCTGTCTGGAGGACAACGCCAACCAGTAGCCTCCTCCGAGACGCCGGCTTACCGTCAGCCAAAGTCGCCTTAGAAGGCGTCCGTTTACGGGCCGCAGTCCGACTACAGAGGATTGATCGCCGACACCCGCTAGTCGCGCGGCTCTCCCAGCAGGGACAGCAACAGACGAGACTACAACGGACGGCTGAACTTCTGCCAAGATGCGGAAGACCAACGTTCCTCCAATCACAGTACCTGCCAAGCTCACAGGATCAGATAGTAGTTCAATGCAAAGAAGAGGCTGCGAAAGCTTTCGAGCGCTGGCTAAAGACAGTACCGGAAAGCCATATGATCGTCTTCTCGGACGGCTCCAGGGCGACGAACGGAGCCGTGGGGTACGGCTTCGTCATCTACCGAGACTCCAAACGCATAGCGCAAGGGTGCGGCCGACTCGGACTAGCAGAAGTGTTCGACGCCGAGGTCGAAGGGGCGCGAACCGGCCTCAGAAGGGCTCTGCTCACCAATCGCGGTCATCCAATCCACATATGTATCGACAACACCAGCGTTATACAAGGCATCCGCGGCAAGGCGCCGGACTCGTCACAAGACGCGTTCCTCGAAATCCAAGAAGCGGCCAGGATATTTGATATACGGACGCACTGGTCCCCGGGACACCAGGGCATCGAAGGAAACGAGGCCGCGGACCGGCTGGCCAAAGAAGGAACGACACTGCCGGCGCGGATGGGTCAAATGGCAACACTAGCGGGCATCAAGCGGCTTGCAAGGGAAAAATTACAAAGCCAGCACAGGAGATGGTGGTATAAAGAGCGAAGGCCGCGGTACGCGGACTTGGGGCTTGAGGCAGCTCTGTCCAGCCCTCCTGAACTGGCCTTGCCGCGGGCTACGTTACATCACCTGCTGGCGGCACGATCGGGTCACGGGGACTTCGAGCAATATCACCGACGTTTCAACCACGACGACGCTCTAATGATGTGCTCTTGTGGAGAGGCGAAAGACGTGGACCACCTGGTCTACTGTCGACTAACGCTGGCGAGGAGGCAACGGTGGCCGACCCTCCACTCTCGCAGTATGCCCGAGCCCATAGGTCCTATGGGATCTCTCGAGGCCTACTTCAAGAGATTAATCACCGACCCACGAGGCTTCGAGGCCTTTCTCCGCGTGACGGACTTCTTCCAGAAGATCTGTCTGCGGTAGCAGCATCCACACCTAGGTAGATGTGAGTGCGGACTACAAAGAACCTCCCGATTCCAAGGGACGATTTGGGAAAGAATGAAACTGGGGCACCAGCGGGAACCGGGGACAGACAGAACGCGTAGTGGCCACAAGGCATGATTTGGAGGACGATGTAAAGAGACGACGTACTGTAGAGTAGGTAGCCTTGGCTCACGGCCCTCCACGCCATATACCCTTCGGGAGGTCTGCGGTAAGGGCTCTAGCCCGGCCGCCACGGCGTTAAATACAACAACAACAACAACAACACCAACATGGCAATGTGTACTGGTCCTGGATGGCTTGGACGAAGCTCCTTTGGAAGAGGCGGAATCAGTTCTTGGTCAACTTCATCGACTTATGCAACTCAGACGAGTCAAGCTATGCTGCTCTTCCCGACCCACATCCAGATGCAAATTCGTTGCAGCATCGTCGATTGGTATCACCCAGACTGTGTCATTCGAAAGTGTCGACAGATCCGAAGACCTTCGAAGTTACATATCGGCCGAGGTCGAAAACTGGAAGCTCATCAGGCCAATTTCAAGCAGGCTTGAGCAGCTAGTCAAGCAACAGCTGCTGGTAGGTTCTCAGGGCATGTTTCTATGGCTCTCGTTGCAGATCGAGGCCATTTGCCCCAAGTACACACAAGAGCTTCGTTCTGAGTCTGGAATTCTTGATATCATCAACAACCTTCCTCGAAACCTTCCTCAGGCGTTTGATCAAGCAATTTTGAGAATATCGGACCTGAAATACGGATCGCGAATTTTTCAGCTCGTCGCATCTGCAGACCCTTGTCTTTCACTGGATGAACTTCGTGTGGCTCTGAACGTCCAACCTGGGTCCTTGATGTGGAGTTCTTCGACTCTACACCCCTCCGGGTTAACTTTGGCTTCGATTTATGGTGGCAGTCTACTGGAGGTTGATGAGGAGGACTCATGCATCAGGTTCATTCATCACAGTGTCCTGTTACACCTCATTCAAGCCCCCGCGTTGCCTGCAGCTTCTCCTTACCACTTTCGTCTGCATCAAGCAGAGTTCGAACTCGGGGCCATCTGCGTCACTTATCTCAACTATGGGGTATTCGAGAATAGCCTGTCATCTTCGCCTCCCAAAGATGTTGCATGGAATTTCTCATTGCTATCTGCCCAATGCCACTTCAATTGACCCGCTGGTTACTCTTACGTTACTCAACATTCAATCTCAACTGGGGTTTGTATCGGGCACTGCATGGCATCTAGCCATTGGTGATACCACTTGTGCAATGTCAATGTGCATGTCCCTCGGAAGACCATATAGCCCTACTCGCAAAGACACTCGCAATTGGGACTCGTGCAAGTCCAGCCTGGTTTGCCTTGACGCTGGCACTATTATCGCACAGATATATCAACAAGTGCTCAGCAACTGTATGAGGTATGGTGGGTTGTAAATACCTCGGCTTCGCATCCGCCATCAAAGCCCCCACACCATGTCATGAAGTCACATCCGTAGCGTAAGTTGTACTCGAAATCCGACATGGACCCTTGCGGTGGAGGCCAGGTGAAAGGGACGGCAGAGGTAGCACTGGTGGCAGTGATGGCACAGGTCATGGCCACGGCCAAGAAAGAGGAATAGTACAACATTTTTGTTTTCGGACTCAAATTTGTGGGCAGAAATACTTAACGTCAGAACTGTAGAACTGATGATAATGGAAAACTTCAACCTGCGTACTCTGAGAAAGCCTGGGAAACATCATTCACATACTTCTTATAGTCACTGACCTATCGTGTTTAGTTATGAAGTAAGACTTCACCAAGTTGCTGCCGGTGATTTGTAAGTCCGGAAAGTGGACTTGTTGGCAAATCATGGAAGCGGTGTCCTACGGATGCCTAAAATATCCACATTTATTGAACTCTATGATGCGGCTTCCCTTAGTCGTGCATGGAAGTGGAAAAATTCCAATGACCTGATAGCTAATTGTGCAACGATGAAAATTTGATCGTGATAGTCAACAGTGCTCTTCATCCCATATGCTAGGTGGAGCGGGTTGTTGGATTACATCCGGTAGCTCTGCTTGCAAGCATTAATAACATCGTTTCTGACGCATTTGACATCCTCCCCATCATATCATGTCTGGCTCATTCGGTAGGAGCTGTAACAAAAGAGGGCTGCCAATGCTAAGGCTGATGCGTACATCATGGTTGGCCTATGGTAGTTGACCGAGAACGAGGTTGAGGTGTGCGCCAAGAATAGAGTTCATTAGCTCGTGGGTGTATGAGAGAAGCTTAAGAAATATGTGCAAGTAATCCGATGCAGCCGCGAGTTGCCTCAATAGGATGTAGAGGCAACATTCTTCATTAGTGACTGTGCAAGCATCTCTAAGGTACATCGACGTACATGTCATCATGTTCAAAAAGTGAGGCTCATGCATCATCGCACTGATGAGCAGAGGCTGCTCAACAAGGCACGAATCTTTCAAAGATTTCAGAAGCAATATCCATACCAACAGGAGATAAAGCGCTAGAGCATACATGCCACATTCTCGGGAGGATCCGACAGCAACTCCGTAGGGAATGCAAAGACGCAGGCCGCGGCTCGAGCTAATGCGACTTGGTTCACTTATGTCAGCAGGCTTTATCTCTGATGGATCAATAAGAAATTCTCTCCGACCCGGGGTTAATGACCGGGGTCTCGCTTGGAGGGGCTCCTGAGTAAAACCAAAAGTCGGGATGAAGTTCACACTTAATCGCCGTTTGGGTGGGGATTCGGCGCCGATGACACGGAGGACCCTGCCGGGCAAGGCCGGATTGCGCTAAACTTAGCAGAGTCGGAGATGCAAAACAGGGGGCCTATTCTTAAATCCCACGGTGGAAAGTCTTGGGTTTTGCCTTGTGGCGGCCAGGATGAGCCGGTCCGATGACTGGGTTTGGCAGGCTGACAGCGGTCGATCAGGGAGGATGAGATGACTGGTGATTCATGAGTTACTTGAAGCGGCGATGTGGACTGAAGTATCGTGTCCAGAAATGAGCGATGAGGTGAGAATGCGAATGAGTCTCAGAATGAAAGCTGTCTTATTCAACCTGAAATACCAAGCAAGTAACGGTCCGGGACTGAGAGTCGATTCAGCAATACCTGAGGTACCTAACGACCAACCGCGGAGAATTTCCTTTGAAGGGGGAGGAAGGTTCGCTTGCATTTCTGGACCTGCCGTCACTGGTCAAACTGTCTCAGGAGGCCGGAGCGCCAGTGACGTATGGGCGGGGGAGTTTGCTGAGGAAGGCGCATCTCAGAGGCTCAGTCTGGCTCCCGCGAGAAAAAAGAAAGTAGCCGCCCGCACATGTTGTGGTTGGTTGGTACCTAAGGAAGGAACGTGGGATAAGCACAGAGAAGGCGGGGCAGATTAGGTAATTGCTACTCAGGGCACTGACGCCTCCTCGCCGCACCTCAGGTGTCACTAAAGGCAAGAGGCAATGGAAGAGAGGTGCCGGTCTCACAAGTGACAGATGGAAGAATTTAGAAAGAAAGAACGGCAGACTTTCCGCCCGCAAGGTCTCCACAAATGTCATCGTCACCGTCTGAGTCTCTCCTCAATTTTCTCCTGGCGTCTTTTCCTTGGGCTGTTGGAGTCGTACTCGTAGTTGGGAACGTGGACGTGGACGCAGACTGCTTCCATCCCCATTTACGGATACTCGACTCTTCCCTGTCGGTAACCCCTTGTTTTTCTTCCTTCTGCCCCCTTCCATTCTGCCCTGCAGGAAGTCCCCACTCCTTCGTCCTGGTCTTCCCGAAGACCCCCATCTGCGTCTTTGCGTCCCAGCGTCTCTTCTCGCCTGCCGCCGTCGCTGCTCGCATTCTCGTCGTCCCAAGGAACAAGCCCGGACTTTTTCCCCCCTCGCATCCAGTTCGCTTCGCTGCCTCCTTGCCCGACAAATCATCGTAGCCTAGATCGAAATCAGAGACCAGCGACACCGAGCGATATCAACACCATCGACAGACAAGCCCAGTTTGCTCCCGGTCACCGACGAAGCGAGGACCACCCGACTACGTTCCCCTCTCCCCCTCGTCACTCGGTCGGTCGGTCACCGTATGCACCTCGTCCCGAGAGTGGAATTAAGGAATTCGCACCCATGTCATGGTGATGCCACATACCTAGGTATTGCGACCTATCCATGTCCAACTCTTTCCGCCTGCCAGCCACGACTCTCTCCAAGACTCCAACCTATTATTCGCTGATCTGACTTGCGAGCGACCTCACGCTACCTAACCTTTCGCTGCTCTGCGGATCGAATACCTACCTGCATACACTATACACGCATCCCGCCTGGCCTGATTCACCACTACCCAGTCCCTAGCCGTACGGACCCCGGATAATTGCTGGACCACTACTACTGCAGACCTACCCAACGCGACGTTGCACACACCGCAAACGCTGTCACGGACAACACACCACCAACCGCCGATAAATCACAAACTCGCCAGGCCACTCCTGTCCCCGAGATTCTACACCAGCCCTGCTATCTACGACCGCCGATCAACGACTTTTGACCTTCTTCACCGACTCGCGACAACCACTTACTCCTTGGCAAGTCGACTCGCGCCCAAAGTCCGTCTTTGGCTCTTATCATCTCGACACCCGCCTCCGATCACAACCACGCTGAAAAGTGGTGAAGCACGACCTTTGATATCTACGACTGCGTTCGTTGCCTCTCGATTTTCTTAGCCGACGTCAATCGACCCGATTCCAACAGTCTGACGGCCGACGATACCGCTTCGATCACCACGAACCATCCCCGACGGCTCCAAAGCATGACACGATGGATCCCCCCGACCCCTTGCCGCTCCGAATAACGAGGAGCGCCTCCTCTTCCTCGTCACTTCATTTCAAGCCGCGCAATCGAAAGCTTCACCTTCTAGTAGCCGCCAATGGGCCCCGCGACATATCGTGGGCACAGGCTCTCGTCGTCCGTCTCTCAAAGAGTTCGGCTATCGAGATGCGCGCCATCGTCGACGACGCCGTACCCCGTCTAAGCCAAACTGTTATCACCATGCAGAACCGATCCATGACACTGCCGCCCGGTCCATCGCGTACCGGCTCCGAAGCAGATGTTGATGATATCGAATTCTACCGCCAGCAGGCATTCGAGCTGGTCGAGTGGGCTGATCTACTGGTTCTCGCCCCGATCGACGCCGACAACATTGCCAAGATGATGGTGGGGATCGCGGATACTTTCCTTCTCGAAGTCCTTCGCGGCTGGGACACAGCGAAAAAGGTGCTCCTCGTCCCTGGAATGAGCACGCACATGTGGGAGAACCCGGTCACGAAAAGGCAGTTGAACAAAATTAATAGCAAATGGCCTTGGGTACGAGCGATGCCACCTATACTCTGGCACTACGATAGTGCCCACAAACACCCTAAGCGAATTGTCAATTGGAACGGTTTCAACGACGTGTTAGGCATCATCAAGAACCAAGCCGACTTGCTTGGTCTGGGTCGGGACGTGGACGTCGTCACCCATCTCGGCTACCTCGCCTCGGGTGATCCGCGAGTGTACTCCAATTTGCCGCCGGAAATCTGGACTATCATTCTCGACTTTGCCGACGACTGGGAGTTGGCGCAGGCTTTAGGAATTTTTACCAACCTGCCCATGCCATATCCTTGGAAGCTACAACCCAGGAACCCCAACGATCCGGTCAAGGTGTACGAGCACGAGTTGGAGTGGCTTGTGCTTACTTGCGACTCAACCTCTATTTGCAAAAAGCTGCTTCAGTCCCCGCCTACCTTCCATGAACTCCCGGCACTCGTCATTAAGCTTCTTATCCGCTTCTCGCTGATCGAAGTACTAACCTGGATGGAGGCCAACCGCCCTGATCTCTTCCAGGCTTTCGACGGCAAGGTCCTCGCGACCAAGGCTTCTGCATACTTTGGTCGCCCCGATGTCCTTGATTACTGGAAGGAGAGCCGGTATTTCCGTGGTCGCCACCAACAGTGTTATGATGCCGAAGTCCTCGATGGCGCGTCCAAAAATGGCCACATACAGAGTCTGGACTGGTGGTGGCGCCGATCTGGCTTACCGCTCCGCTTCACCGAGGCTGCCCTCGAGCAGGCCAGCGGAAAAGGTCATCTTCTCGTGCTCGAATGGTGGCGAGATGCCGCTGCCCAAGACGAGAATATTGTGCTTAGACCTGGAAAGTCGCTGTTGTGGGCCGCCCAGCACGGCCAGGTTGACGTCATACGTTGGTGGGTGGCCTCTGGCATTCCTGTTGCCAATGGAGATGGCGTAGCAAAGATTGCTTCACGATGGGGCCAGGTCGGCGTTCTCGAACTTTGGAGGAAGCTTAAGGGCGACGACAAGCTTGCTTTCGACGGCGAAGTCCTTGTTCAACCTACAATCCATCAACACATTGGGGTTCTGGAGTGGTGGCGCAAGTTTGCATATGGCGAGCTTGAAGGAATGGAAGGACGGAAACACCGCGTCGAATACCGAACCTGCGATATCGAGGAGGCCTTGGAGGACAGTATCGGCGATCAAGAGCCAGTACGGAAGTGGTGGGCCTGCAACGGGCTCAACCTGAGCATTCGTAATCTTGAGTGGATGAGGCCCAGGTATCTGTAGGACTATCATGACACATTTACGGGCGTAGGCAGCATTGCTTGGGTAGCACTACACATGGCGCCTGGACATTCTAGCATCAACATGGACTCGAAAAAGTTTGGCGTTTATCGGGATTCTCTAGGCGTATGGGGAGCGATACATGATTCAGGGAATATTATTCAAATTATAGACTGAACCCTATGATGTTCACTCACACTTGTGTTACCCTTTCGCTCATTCGCCATTCGGGTATGTACCAGTTTTGACCACTTTCAGATAATTAGGGGCGCTGCAACGAGGAGGCCCGCGACCAAGACGGAGCCGTCGAGATTACGTCCCAAAAACGCGGCACCTTGTTGGGCAGATGTTGATGTCGGCGCTGCGCTCGTTGTCGTTGTCCTTGTTGTCGATGACGAAGATCTTGACGACGAAGATGTTGGCTCATCATCGCCGCCACCAAGTGTCTGCGTGGGCTGTGGAAAGTCTCTCAGAGACGTAGTCCCCGCTTCACCCCCAGGTATCGTCGCGAGTAGACTAGATGTCGCGCTTGTATCATCACCACCACCTCCGCCGCCGCCGCCGCCTCCACCATTGGGGTTCCGACACTTTTTGTCCCCGACACAAGTCAGGCCGGCATTGCAGAAGTATGTTTCGCAGCAGACTTGACCGGCTGGCATACATCCGGTGCCGCAGGGTGTCTGGCCGGCCGCACACTGACTTCCTCCTCCTCCCCCTCCCCCTCCGCCGCCGCCACTGCTACCCTTATTACACTTCTTATTTCCCGCACACGTCTCTCCGGCATCGCAGTAGTAGGTATTGCAGCAGACTTGACCGGCCGGCATGCACCCCGTACCGCAAGGAGTCTCCTCCGCCGAACACTGACTTCCGCCGCCAGATCCGCCGCCCTTGTCGCACTTCTTGTTCCCAAGACACTTCTCGCCGGCGTCGCAGAAGTATGTATCGCAGCATACTTGACCGGATGGCATACAATCCGATCCGCAAGGAGTCTGACCAGCCGCACACTGACTTCCTCCCCCGCCACCTCCTCCGCTGTTACACCGTTTATCGCCCACACAAGTGTTTCCAGCAGGGCAGTAATACGTCTGGCAGCAAGTCTGTCCCGTAGGCATACACCCAGTCCCACAGAGCGTCTCGCCAGCTCCGCACGAAGTCCCTCCACCGCCACCGCCGCCTCCCTTATTACACTTCTTGTCACCCGCGCACGTCTCCCCGGTAGGACAGTAGTACGTCTGACAACATGTTTGTCCTGAGGGCATACACCCGCTCCCGCACTGCGTCTGCCCGTTCCCACAGGAACTTCCTCCCCCGCCTCCACTGCCGCCGGTACAGTACCCATCAGAAGTACACGTCTTCCCGGCATCGCAGTACCCTCCGTTTGAACAACATACCGTGCCGGAGGGGATACAAAGCCCATTGCAAAGCACCTTTCCCGAACTACACCCTTGTGGCGGACCAGAGCACGTCTTGCCGTTCTGGCAGCACCCGCCTGACGTGCAGTATTTCCCTATCTCGCAGTACCCGCCGGATCCTGTGCCGCAGCATGTTCCGGTGACGGGGATGCAGCCGTTGTCGCATGATTTCTGGCCGATGTCGCACGAGGCTACGGCCGCGGCGCCGAGGTTGAGGATCGGGATTGTGGAGCCGGTGCCGGGGAAGAGGTAGGCTGGGGTCGAGAGAGAGGTTGAGCCGTCGTAGTTTTGGGGTTCGTCGGCACGGGTCAGGAGAGGGAGGAGGAGGGTTGAGAAGGATAGGAGGAGGGGTTTGGGGAGCATGGTTGGGTGTTTGTGGGTGTGCTCTTTGAGAGTTTGGTGGTGAAAAGGGATGATGTCCTGTCGAGGTAGTGTTCGCCTGAAGCTCAAAGGCTTTTGAGGGGGGCTGAGAGACACGAGATCGTTGGACAACTCTAGAGACTTGTCTTGAGGTATAAGTATTTCTTGGCCAGGTTCAAGTCCAAAAAGAAAGACTGGCCTTGTATGGCCGGGCATCCTTAGACCTCGCCATCTCCGCGGCTTTCTATCGAATCCTGCTCAAGAGTAGCCACTCACACAAAGCCGTTGATCAGGCTGAGGGCATGTCCAACCATGTAGGTAGGATTTTTGGAACTGAATTCAAGCTCTGGAAGGCAACCCCGGACCTTGCTCATCGCTCACTAACTCCCTTGTCGAGGCTTACCCGACGTCCATCTCTATTTCTTGGGTGCTTGCTTGCGGTTAACTCACACGGACCGACGGACGGCAGGTGGGATGAACAATACGGCGGGCGTTTACCTTGTTTGCCAAGTCCTTTAATCCCTTGATTGACAAGGCAATTGTTTCTTGGCAAGGCGGGCTTGTTGTACACTGTACAAGAATGGGAGTGTTTACCGACCCTTTGCACGGGGACGGAAAGAGGTCTGGGATACTGGTGGTGGCAAGGGGTGGGCGGATTAGAAAGTGCGGGTGAGCCTTATGGGGATGAGCTAGACATGCAGGGTTTAATGATATTCACGCATGCTGTCATCCTAAAGATGTTTCTTTTCCACATGGTTTGATTAGAGGATCATGTGTGGCGTCTCGTGTTCAGATAGTCAGCTTTAGACGTTGAAGACCACGATGGGTGAGTAGAAGATGCCCCGAGAGGAGGGCGATGTCGGGGAGCACCAGAAGACTGGATACAGTTGGGCAGCTACAAGAGGAGTGACCCTCAGTCCATCACTGGCCTTGAAGATTGCCGGTATCGTCTAAGCCTCAGATCATCAATCCTGTCTGAATTCAGTCAAAGCTATTCGCTCGACTGGCATCACCTGCCACCGCAAGACATGACTCCGAGTCCGAGTCCGCCTCCGCCTGTCGAGCCCGTCCCCGCATTCCTGTCAGCCTGGGCTAGCGAGCTCAGCTCGTTTAACCTTGTTTCTCTAGCTTCCCTAGCTTATTAGCTCCTGCGAGTAAGCGAAGTGAAGCTCTGAAGCTAATGCCGATTCAAGGTCCAGATCGTCAACACGTATCGAATGCTTACTCTAACTCGGGCGCGAGATACCCCGCTTGGGACTACATGACTGGTAAAAGGCAGATTAACAACGCTTTCAAGCGTGCAAGCGAATATGCACAGTACTACATAGTACACACACTTGATGCGGCACAGTTTTTGGCCAACAAAGTAAGGCCCTGTCAGATTTTTCACGCCCTAACGGCGACTGGCGCGGTGCGGCTGAGTCAAATTTGACGACTGTGACGAATGAAAGGGAGGGGATCCCCAAGAGAGGCGTTCGCTAGTCCTAGAGTCGCAGTTGGACCCTTGTGTAAGTTGTGTTGTGGCTTGAGGTTGCTTTGAGTTGGCGGCTTGGCATTCCCGGGTTCTTAGCATCGCTTGCGGGTTTTTATGAGATTGGCAGGCTGGGGCCAAGCAGGCTGTGAGAATGGAACGTCAGAATTGTTGCCTGTCAAGCCACTAGATAGTAATATGCTGGTACACAAGGACTACCGTTCGATCTTTCATGGCTCTAGGAGATTATCAATCGACTCTAGAATTCCACTGAATGACTATCCCAAATAAACTTGGTCCCTATGCGTTTGCAGTGTGATGGTGTTGTCGAACAACGAGTGAGCCCGCCATGTGTGGTAGGTAACTGGGTTTCTCGGTTGAACGGGATTCCTGCCGTCTGACGCATCTCAATCGTGAGCACATTTTAGTACCTAGGTGTGCCTTGTTTCGGGTGCGAGCTTTTGGCAAGACGTCCTCGTAGCAATGACATTGATACACCCAAGCCGTCAACATTGTAACATGGTTTGATTTGGGTGCGCAGAAGCGGTAGACAGCGATGTTGTAAGTCGAGGGAGGAGGGGCTGACATAAGTGGCGTTTTTCATCTGATAGGGTCGCAAAAAGACACAAAAGGCAAAAATCGGAGTCTCCGCTTTTCCGAGAACCCAAACGCACAGAAATTGATGATCAAAAGCGCAAAGATTGGCAAAACCTCGCGACTCAGAACTGACAACATTGATCACCAAAAATTGTTGCTAAAAAATTGTTGCCAAAAACAAAAGATATCGACGTTGGCCTGATTCGAACAGACGCTCCCGAAGGAACAAGATTTCTAGTCTTGCGCATTAGACCACTCTGCCACAACGCCGGAGTGTAATTGAACCCGCTCTGAGGCGGGGATGGTGGGAGTTGGCTTGCTGTCCTTCATGATGCCAGGCGGGGCGTGACGAAGGTGCACGCTTAAGCAGCTGCTCGCGTGAGTTGTGGTTAGTGGATAAGATGTCACTTAGCTGGCCCATGGAGGTTCGAGGTGCTGAGAAGAAAAGCGCCTAGGGCAGGCTTTTCTTACAATACGTGTTGTTGCGTTACATCCTATTGCATTTGAGCATTTTGCTTGAAATCTTCTGAAGTCTTCCTCAAAATATGTCTCTACCAACCTCAGGCCCCCCACAACTTCGGAGTCGAAGTCCGTGATTTCATCTTAGAAGCAAACTCGTGCCCGATTCCTAGACGCAAGAAACATTCGCTGTTCCCCTCGCCAAGCAGAGCATCTCGAACACTTGGCGAATGCGAACTTGCCGACTGTCCGGCGCCAAGATTGTCAAAAGCCTCGAGAACTCTACGCTCGCCGGCGGTACCAGAAGAAATGTGCAAGATGACACGAGGTCTGAGACTGCCCCTGACCCTGAGCCGATCAGACGAACGGGGTCACCCAACTTTTTGGGGGAGGGGAAGTCCAGCCGGCGGGGCTGCATGGAGCATTTGGGGTCTGAAATTTTTAACGCTGGACCCATGTGAATTTAATTGCTGGCTGCCGTCCGTTCTTATTCTAAATGCATCCTAGCATGAGGTTCGGAAAGTTGTTGTAATCAGGAAAAGCGCAGTAATCTATGTGAGGCATGGACAGATCTGCTTGTTTTTGCTATTTTTAACCTTATTCTTACGTTTACTCGAGACCAGGCCAGTGCCTCCGTTTTCCATTGACCAGAGTCGTCCACTTGAGATACCTAGTGCAGATCTGAGATCAGGTTCAGACATTGAGTAACTCCTGTTTGCCAAGGCCCGGTATGGAGTGAAAAGCTAAGGCTCGCTGTCGCTACGTCTTGCCAGCAGTATTTGCAGCGATAGTGGTCGATTTCTTACCAAGTCTAACGCCGACTCAACTTCTCGTGAGTCTTACTTTCGTCAGGCCAGACTGTACCGCTGGGTTTACCATGAAGATAAGTCGACCCGATGCCAAATGCTTGGCATTGAATGATATTCCTTTCGAACAGCTGGGCGGAAAACTATCCAAGAGGCGATCTTGGCAGGGTAATGGCCCATATCGCCCGATAGAAAAGCATAGTTTCAAGTCAACAATGTGGCCCGATACGACGGAGAAACTTCTTAGATTTCGTACTTGAGCCCATCAAGTCATCGCACGGCTCATCACCTCTCACCTGTTGAGCTGCCAAGCTTGTCTCCGCCGTCGTAGCCGTTTCCTTATGCAGCATCACTTCCAAAGCCTATATGGCTCTCTCCAGACTTCCGAAGGTCTCTCTCGAAATAGAATTAGCTGTGAATTACGGGGTGCTCGAGGCAACAGATAACGAGGAGATCAGCTTCCTTTTTGTGAGACTATTCCCGCCTTGCGTCCATGGAACGGCCAAAATATGGGGCGCCTTACCGGCCTCATTGGCTGCACATCACGGATGATGCGCGACCAGGCCTTACCCCAGACAACCCGAAACGGCTTGCCTGTCAGACACCTTGACTTGGAGTGTGTCGCTAAATCCTGCCAACCCTCCTCGACGTATTAATAGATTAGCCCGGGTCTGATTGCTAAAATCAGCCTTTTGAGAGGTCAACCACGATGCGTCCGATGGTTGTCTATTATGTGATGGAAGTTTGGACAGGTACTAATCTTGGCTCAAACATGGCCTCATCAACTTCTCCCATATGCCTCAACAAGACGGAGCTGTCACAACACAATGGCGTCTTGGCTGAGGATTGGATGGTGAGCTACGGACGATTGAGATATATAAACTAGTATGAAAGGTCTCTCAAAGTCAGTTTCGAGTAGAAAGTCTTCAGCCTCTAACGCGTCTTCCTTTTTGAGTTTATCTATCAAATCCGGTCGTGCGCTGGGTCGCCGGCATATCGTAATCATTCAATTCGACACAGAGCCTATTTCCACGGTACCATTATGTCGTTCGAATCTCTCCTGCCCCTGAGGCTGTTTAGCCCTGCTTTCTTCTACTCGACCCTTCTCTTTTGCTCCATCGCCATCCTTATCAAGGCTGAAGATCCCACCTCTTCACCAGCTCAGCAAAGCGTACCCTTTGTAGACCAGGCCACAGGCCTGGCCATGGAGCGCTTCTTTGGCGCCCGTACCTCATTCGCCTTCGCTATGGCTCTGCCAGAAACAACTTCATCATCTTTCATCGGCCAGTTGTCATTCCCGCTCGTTAACGGTGCTGGGTGGGGCGCCATGGGTTTGACCGGCGACATGGAAGGAAACTTCTTCCTTGCGGCATGGCCGGATGGTAATGGTGGTGTCATGGCCACATTCCGTCAGGGAACCAACGAGGACAACCCACCCGAAGTCAAGGGCAACTTCGCCGTCCGACCTATCGCCGAGGGCGTCTCTGTTAACGCGTCGTCTCTGACATATACCTTTCTCTGCGAAAACTGTCTCGACGCGACCCTGGGACTCGGCCCAGAGGCCACGAGTGCCAACGCTGTGATGGGATGGGCTCTGTCGGAGAAGGCCGTGAGAAACCCCGGAAACCCTGGGGCAACTTTGGGGTTCCACGAGCGAGGATTCGGTCCAT